ACTTCCCCGCCTGCACCTGCCAGGATACAGAGGGCTGGCAGGTGGGCGGGGTGGGGAGGAAGGGGGAAGGGCACCGGCACAGGTGCCACTCCCTGTGGCCCAGGGCTGGAGCTGCAGTCTTTCCTGTTGACAGTAATTAGAACCTTTGAGAGAAAGAGAGAAAGAAAGAAGAGAGAAAGAGAAAAAGAGAGAAGGGAGAAAGAGAAAGAGAGAAAGAGAGAAGGGAGAAGGGAGAAAGAGAGAAAGAGAGAAAGGGAGAAGGGAAAAAGAGAGAAAGAGAAGGGAGGAAGGGAGGAAGGAAGGAAGGAAGGAAGGAAGGAAGGAAGGAAGGAAGGAAGGAAGGAAGGAAACCCCCCAATCCACTTGAATTATCCCCTTGATCCAGTTCACCTGGCCTTCCTTGGTGAAATCAAGCACTTAAGCCTTTACACCTTGAAGCTGATAAGAGCCTTAGTTGGCTTTTTGCGCATGCACCATCTGAGTTTGGGGGTCATCTGCGAAATGGGGGAAACAGTGGTGAACATGGACTGAGTTACCACAGGAACGGTGAGCAGTGCAGGGCCCTGTGCCCCATGACCATTACGGGGGATGCATTAGCCTTGTTAGAGTTATCTGTCTGGCCCCCTTCATTGCCTCCCTGCCAGGGATGGTACAGGAGGAAGCCGGGTCTCCTTCCTGTCCCCCTGACCCTGGACCCTTCCAGACTCCCTCTCCAAATAAGTCCTCTGTCTACAGCTGTGAACCAAACCTGCGTGCCAAGGTTCTTCTGAAGGTGACAGAAGTGAGTTCGCTCCCTGAGCCCAGAACTTGGGGGCCCTTTCATCACGGTAGTTCCCGAAGTACCAGGGGAGGGCCTAGAAGAAGGGCCTTTGAGCTCTTGAAGCCTCTGAAACTCCGACTTGTCTCTGTAATCCTCGGTACGCAGCAGAAGAGGCACCTGATAATATTAACCATGCAGAAACGAACACTGCAGAAGAGTACTTTAGACCAGGTTTGGCTTGGGCCGCCTGATGGAGACTTTTCCAGGCAGAGCATTCCCGAGTGTTTAAAAATGGAAACTCGGCAAGAAATACCTTCCTTTCCGCTCCTGTTTTTGCCCCCAGGGTTTCGAGCAAGACCAAAATAACTCTCATTGTTAAATATTATTATGTTCTAGACATTCGGCTAAGTAGTTGTATAGACACCCTCTCTTTTCATCTTGGCTCCAGCCCTGAAAGCTAGTTACCAGCAGTCCCCCTTTAGAGATGAGAAGCTGAGATTTCAAGCAATTGAGCAATTTGCCCCAAGTTGCGTAGCTGGTAAATTACAGAGCTCAGCTCCGAGCCCGGGGGGGGGGGGGGGGGGGGGGGGGGGGGGGGGGGGGGGGGGGGCCGCGAGTGAACTTGCTCTCCCATTTGCTCGGAAATGTTCTGATTTGGGAGCAAGTCTTCCTGTCCATTCTCCCAGAGACCCTGCCCAGCCAAGGAGTGACCAGCACAGCTGGGGCCTCATGCTTGAAGCCACCACCCAGATTTAGCCTCGGTTCTGCTCGGACAGAGCCCAGCCACATCGCCCCAGGTTCCACAGTGGGAGCTGTTTGCCGGGCCCCGCTGGCCCCCTCGTGCCTCTCTGGATCTGTCTTCCTTGCATTGGGAGAAATCCCATTCCGGAAGTGGTGACATGGGTATTCTGTGTTTCAGAGGGATTCTGTATTTCCATGAGCCTCTGGTTGCCTTAGAGAAATGCAGGATTCTTTTTCTTTTTGGGTCACATGTAGCAATACTCAGGGGTTACTTCTGGCTCTGGACTCAGGAATCACTCCTGGCAGTGCTCAGGGGGGGACCATATGGGATGCTGGGAATCGAACCTGGGTTGGCCGCATGGAAGACAAACGCCCTACCCACTGTGCTTTCGCTCCAGCCCCAGGATGATTTTTGTAACTCATTCTTCTGTCCCTGGAAAGTAGTTGAAATCCATGAGTTAAGAGTAACCCCAGGACCAGCCAGGTCTGGAGATGCAGAGACTGAGGTGGGCCTCCGGGGCATCACACCAACGTCCCTGGCTCTGCACTCAGGAATCACTCCTGGCGGTGCTCAGAGGACCATATGGGATGCTGGGAATTGAACCCAGGTCAGCCGCATGCAAGGCAAATGCCTTACCTGCTGAGCTATCACTCCAGCCCCACCTCCTTCCCTCTCTTGTCTCCTCATTTTCTTTTACCCGCTTCCCTTTCCTGAGGATATCTGCTCGGCAGCAGGGGAGGCTAAATAGGAAATCTGTGAGACTTTGATGCTTCCCCACTCCAAGAATAGTATCAGATATATTCCTCCAAAGCTGAGCCTAGAAAACTGCTAATGCAAAGGTAAGTTTCTTGGGGCTGGAGTGATAGCACAGCGGGTAGGGCCTTTGCCTGGCATGCAGCCAACCCGGGTTGGATTCCCAGCATCCCATATGGTCCCCCAAGCACCGCCAGGAGTAACCCCTGAGCATCTCTTTGTGTGACCCAAAACCATATAGCTAGATGTAATTTTTAATAAATTAGATTTTATAGAGAAGGGAGCACCAAATAAAAGGTGTTGGGAGGATCCTCTGCTGAAAGTAGACTATAAACCAAACATGATTGCCATTCAATGCCTCTTCTGCAAACCACAGTACTCAAAAGGAGAGAGAGAACAAAAGGGAATGCCCTGCCACAGAGGCAGGGTGGGACGGGGAGATGGGGTTAGGAGGGATACTGGGATTCGTGGTGGTGGAAAATGGGCACTGGTAGAGGGATGGGTACTTGATCATTGTATAATTGAAACCCAAGTACAAAAATTTGTAAGTCTACAACTGTACCTCATGGTGTTTCACTAATAAAAGTTAAAAATTAATTAAATTTAAATTTTAAAACAACCTCCGAGGGGCTGGAGCAATAGCACAGCAGGTAGGGCGTTTGCCTTGCACACAGCCAACCCGGGTTCGATTCCCAGCATCCCATATGGTCCCCTGAGCACCGCCAGGAATAATTCCTGAGTACAAAGCCAGGAGTAACCCCTGTGTATTGCCAGGTATGACCCAAAAAGAAAAAAGAAAAAAAAGATGTTTCTTTTATTGCCTTCTGGAAATCGCTTCCCACTGCCACCTCTGTAGGGAATCTGGGGTGAGAATGCAGTTGGGACCATGCTTGGGGCCAGAGAGATGACTCAACAGGCTGAACACAGGCTTGCATGCAGGAGACCCTGGTTCTGTCCCCAGCACAGTCTCCTGAGCACCACCAGGAGCAGGCCCTGAACAATAAGCCAGGAGTCGAAGCCCCCCAAACATGGATAAATGTGACCTCCCCCAAAAAAGTGGGTACACGTTCCATTCAGTGCCTTTTCTCTCTCGTCTCGGCCTCCCCTGCCCTCAGTCTGAGTCAGTGCGATTCCATGTGGCTGCGTCACTCTTTTCCTTAAAGAACAAAACCTCCCCGCAGCCTCTTCCCGAGGGGAGGGACGCACACGCCTCGTGGTGGCAGACGGAGGCCAGGAACCCCATTCCCGCCCTGTGACCTCCACTCATGCAGCTCCATGCCTCTGCTGGCCCTGGCGGGCCATGTGGCCAGTCCATTTCCCGGCCCCCACCTTGAATTGGGCTTTGATGAAAATATAGTAAGAACCCAGGCCTGTCCCTGGGGCTTTGGGTTTTCTTGGGTCTTGGAAGAGCATCAACCAAACTAGCAGGGGCAGGAGAGATCTGGATTCCTGTGGCTTGGGCTAACTTAGACCCGAAGAACCCAAGGGCCTGTGATCATCCCTTCCCTCCCCGCGTGTGGCCGTGCCCTCTGGATCCCCTCCTCGCACTCACTGCCCCGTGAGGGAGGCTTTCGGGCAGCCGGCCCCCACTCCCCATCACAGACCCTCCCACCTTTGAGGCGCTTCAGCATTTGGGATCCTGCCCCGCTGATCTTTTGGTGTTAGCACAAGTGGCAGCAAAATCAACTTTTCAGGCATCCTGGTACATTGTTCTTTCCTTGGAATCCTCTAAAACCTCCCCAAGAGGGCTGGAGCGATAGCACAGCGGGCAGGGTGCTTGCCTTGTACGCGGCCAACCCTGGGTTGGATCCCCAGCATGCCATATGGTCCCCCGAGCATCGCCAGGAGTGATCTGTGAGCACAGAGCCAGGAGTAACCCATGTGCATCACTGGGTGTGAACAGAAACAGACTAAATCACCCCAAGAGTTGCCTCTCTGGGTTTCTGCTGAGCCACATGCTCCCCTCCCCGTTCGCTTCTCAAGCGCCCACCGCTCCTGCAACCCAGAATCATTCTGTTGCCTTGACGGTCTGGCTGGGATTCCTAGAACAGGATGACCAGGCTTGTGTGCAGGAGCCAGCCTGTGCTCAGCTGGGGGACAGAGGAATAAGGTCTGAGGGGTACTCGGCTGGTGGGTTCTTTGCTGGATTTTGTGGGACTGGGTTTATCTAGGCGTGGTGTCCACATAGTCCACGACTAGTCTTGGGCACATGTTGAAGACTGTCACTCCGGTTCCTTCCCTGCGCTGCTTCCCTATTCCTCAGTGACCCCCGGAAGCGATCCCTGAGGGCCAGGAGCAGCTACTGAGTACTGAGACGAGGGTGGAAATCCATGAAGTGGGTCCTAGGTGGGGTGGCTCCTTGAACCAGCATCTGCCTTGCAAGACTGAGGCCGTGCTTTTGAGCCTGGGCTCAACCCCAGGTGCAAAGAGTCATCCTGGGAGCCTTCTTTTCCGCATCCCGCATCCCGGGCACTGCAACCCAGCCGGCATCGTGATTAAGTGTTCACGTGCTGCAGCTGAAGTGTATGAGCCCGGGACATCGCAAAGAGCTGTGAACAGGAAGGAACGGAAAACAGCAAATAAACAGAAGAGCAGGGGAAACGGTCCGAGCAGGTGCAAGAGTTTGATTCCCCAACACCGCAGGTCTGCCCTGCTGTTTAAAAATTAACAGGAATAAAATGCAGTGAAGCAATCGCTCCCCTGGGCCAGCAGGCACCTAATGCATGCTTCTCCGTTGCCTCGCAGACCTGCTGACCATGAAGGAGTATCACTGTCTGCTGCAGCTGCTGTGCCCCGACTTCCCGCTGGAGCTCACGCAGAAGGCCGCCAGGTAGGCCCCGCCCTCCGGGGACGCGCAGCGGGGAGCCAGAAACCAAGGCAAACCCACCCTCCACCCTGCAGAAACTGGCATCTGGAAAGGGAGTTTCTCCGGGGCCTTGCCCCGAAATATAAGACTCGTGCTCTGCACGTCCAAAGGGAGCCTAATGAGCCTGTGGCTTCTGTGGGGAGCCTCGGGGTCTGCAGATAGAGCTGGGAGGGCTGTGCTGAGGAGCCGGCCACGGGCGGCGGGAAGCCCGGGAGGAGCTTCTGAGAAGGGGCAAGCGTTGGCAGCAAGGGATGTGGAAGGGGCCAGAGGCTGGAGACGGGAGAGGCATAAAGCTAGGGGTCCCCCGGGGAGGGGAGATGATACTTGTTGTGCTAAAAGGGTTTTCGAGGTTCATCCAGAACCAGGAAAACTTGGCAGACAGATTTGTCTTGGGTTTCACTGTCATTCATGGTTTGGTTGTTGTTTTTTTTTTAAGCAAATGAAATAGTTGGATTATGGCTCTGTTCACTGTTATTCACGGAACACAAAACTCAATCTAAGGAGAGTGGAGCCAGTGCAGCGGGTGAGGTGTTTGCCTCGCACGTGGCCGACCCAGGTTCAATCCCCCAGCACAGCCGTGTGGGTCCTTGAGCAGGAGTAAGCCCTGAGCACAGCCAGGTGTAACCAAAAAAAGAAAAGAACACCTTGAACTAAGGCAGCAAACGAAAGTATAACCAAAATCTTGTTTGCAAAAGATGCCAGAACACAATTTTCCCTAAAATATTCATGTTGGGCTGGAGCGATAGCACAGCGGGTAGGGCATTTGCCTTGCACGCAGCCAACCTGGGTTTGATCCCCGGCATCCCATATGGTCCCCCGAGCACTGCCAGGAGTAATGCCTGGGTGCAGAGTCAGGAATAACCCCTGAGCATCGCTGGGTGTGACCCAAAAAGTAAAAAAAAAAAAAAATTAAAATATTCATGTTGCTGTACTTTTATTGGGGGGCCCCACCTGCAGTGCTCAGGGCTGACTCCCGGCTCAGGACTCAACTCCCCTTGGGGCTCGGAGGGGTCCGAACCCCGGGCCGGGGATTCAGCTATGATCAGCCACTTGTAAAGCGCATTCCTCCCTCCCTGTCCTCTCCCCTCTCTCAGGCGATTCATATCATTCTACATCTGTCCAGGTTGACAACACCAAGGGTGTGACCCTACTCCAGTGGTGGCCTTGGCGGGGGGTGGGAGGTGGCATTCTCTGCCACTAGGTTCATCCATAGGTTTTTTTCCCTCAATGGTATTTGGCGGTGATGCTTCCCAGTCCAGGTGCCCACCAGGATCTCACACTCAGCTGCAGGGCTCTGAGCCCGTGCCCTGGGCTTTGGCTTTCCTGGGCATCCCAAACTGGGGAGCCCCTGGTTCCCCACGGGCCGATAGGGCTGCGAACAGCCTCATCTACAGGCTGCCCCTGAGCTTGCTCTGCGACCCCATCCACACATCGACTCTAATAGTGTCACTCTGTGTTGCCTCCGGTCCTGGAAGGAGCTGAACTCCCCAGACACCCTCCACCCGCCGCAGCCACTGCCCCGCACCCAGAGGCGGTTGTCAGGTTCTGCTCCAAGGTGCTGCACAGCTTGTGGAGAAGGGACAGGAGCTTTGAGCCAAAACAACCTGTCTTATCATTATGGACAGTAGGGTCCTCCCCCCCCGGCCATAGCTAGGAGCTGACCCTCTGCTCACCCCCTGGAGATGTTAGGAACTCCAGAGGCCAGAGAGAAGATGGGGGTTAAGGCACTTGCTTGCATGAGCTAACCCTGGTTCCAACCCCAGCGGCAAATATCCCGCAGTTCGATTCCTCCACCCCTCTCAGAGAGCCCAGCAAGCTACCGAGAATATCTCGCCCGCACGGCAAAGCCTGGCAAGCTACCCGTGACGTATTCGATATGCCAAACACAGAAACAACAAAGTCTCACAATGGAGACGTTACTGGGCCCACTCGAGCAAATCAATGAACAAAGGGAGGACAGTGCTACAGTGCTACATCCCGCAAATATCCACCCCCACCTGAACATGCTCAGGGTTACTCCTGAGCCCAGAGCTAAGAGAAAGCCCTGAGCATCCCAGGTGTGACCCCAAATCAACCAGCATCCCCAATTTTTTTTAATAATTAAAAAGAAACTTTGACCAGCTTAGCCAGTTCACAGCCAGAACACACCGAAGCCACATGGGGGTGGCTGGCACAAGCCAAGGCCTGGCATCACCCCGGAGAGAGTGGCAGCAAAGTTGGCCATGAATCCAGAACCCGGGGCAGTGGGGTTTTCTCCGTGTGTGGGTACATCAGCCTCCTGGTGCCACCCCCCCCCATGCCATTCTTCCTGCTGGACCAGGGAACTCTGCCCACAAAGTGTGCCCGCTCCTTCCCTCAACCATAGAGGGATTCTCTTGGTCCTGAAGGCCTGGCGCCCGCTTCCCCACACAGGCCCGGGCTCCTGATGCCTGGCTGCGGGGCAGGGAGCGACGGGCCGGGCGCTGGGCCTGCTGGAGTCAGTGCCCGGGGTCTGGGCACAGCCTGCAGCCTGCGATGAGGCGTGCAGGAAGGAATGTCAGCCACAGCAGCTGGGCTGCCGAGCCCCTGGGCCACGGCCTGCCCACATGCCCTGCCCGCCCGCCCGCTGGGGGCCGCAGCCTGCAGCCAGGCCCCGGGGCAGCAGGTGTGAGCCGGGCCCAGGCAGGGAAGGTGCCAGCATGTTCTGGATAGCACCAGAGAGCCCCTCCCTCACTAGTCCTCCAGCTGCCAGAGTCGGAATGTCATTCTGTCCCCCAGTAGTTACCAGAGCCTCTCACTGCCCATGCTCCCTGCCATCCTCCAGACCATCCCCCTTGTCCATCCCCCTTGTCCATCCCCCTTGTCTATCCCCCATGTCCATCCCCCATGTCCATCCCCCATGTCCATCCCCCATGTCCATCCCCCATGTCCATCCCCCATGTCCATCCTCCATTCCAGACTTCTCCAGAGTGGAAATAAACAAGCAAAGAAACAGACAACAAGCAAGATACATATTCACAGGAGAACTTGGACTTGAAGAACAAGCCGAGAGTCTTTTTTATTATTTATCTTGTCCTTGGGCCACACCCAGCAATGCTCAGGGCTGACTCCTGGCTCAGGAATCACCCTAGTGTGCTCAAGGGACCATCTGGCACGCTGGGGATCAAACCCGGGTCCCCGGCCCAATTAACTTGAAAGTCTTAGCTTTTGCTCAGCCCTGTGTCCAGGTTTGTGAAATGGAAATAGTGATCGTAACACACACACACACGGTACTGGGAAGATTTCCAGCACAACCCAAAAAATGCAAATTGCTTAGCACGTTGTAGACTTTTTTTTTTAAGTAATAGTTTCTTGCTGTTGAAATAATAGTGTTGGCTTTATTATTACCAGACTTTTTCAAAATAAGTGAGGTTTCTGGATTCCCTAAGGCAGATATTTCTGGGCTTTCTTCCTTGCCTAAGACAGAAAATACAACAAAGAGTAAACGAGCAAAATGCTCGGGAGCAGCCTGCAGGCTCGGCCAGTCTCCTACCCCCAGCTGAGCCCAGAAACCAGCACACAGGACCCCGGGAAGCTGAAGCGGAGGCACTAACACAGCTGTTCTCGGCCCTGAGTGTGTCAGAGTCACCTGCAGCACCAACTCGTTGGCGGTGTTTGCTTTGTTTTGCCCAACAGTTGCTCAAGGGGCCCTCCCAGCAGTGCTCAGGGACCTGTGATTACCAGGGAAGCAACCGTGACTTGGAAGGCAAGTTTGCTATCCCCAAGCTGCACCCCTGGCCAGGACTCAAGTCTCAGAGTGAGCCTCAGCTCCCCTGAAGTTGACCCTACAGCTGACTGCGCACACAGTGCAGAGGAGGGGCCAGCACGGTGCGGGGGAGGCGATCCGGGCAACCCTCGGCTTCTGATGCAGTCCCGTTCCGAACTGCCTAGGACCATGAAGCGTTTCTCCAAGCCTCAGTTTCTTCCTCTGTCGAATGGAAATAATGACGGCACCTACCTCAAAGGATAGATTTTAACATTGCAATGATGCAAGTGAAACACCCCTTACATAGCCCTTTATGAGCGACTTCTTGTTTTTCAAGGGGCCACACCTGGCTGGCTCAGGAGGTTGTGGAAGTGGAAGCAAGCATGCGCTCTACCACTTGCGGGTTTGTTTGTTGCTTTTTGGGTCACACCCAGCAATGTTCAGGGGTTACTCCTGGCTGTAGGCTCAGGGATTACTCCTGACAGTGCTTGGGGGACCATATGGGATGCCGGGGATTGAACCCAGGTCGGCCGCATGCAAGGCAAATGCCCTACCCGCTGTGCTATTGCTCTGGTCCCCACTTGTGCTCTTTACTCTGGCCTCAAGTAGTGCCTTTTTTTTTGGTGGAGGGAGGAAGTGGGTGCTCAGAGACTATGTCCACTGGGGCTAGGGGACTCTGCAGTGCAAGTCCACTAATCTCAGTACTGTCGCTCCAGTCCCAAATATTTTTTTTCAATACAATTGTGAGTTGAGGGGTGATGTTCCATTCCTACATTGCTTCAAATATTTGCAGGGCTTCTCCTCTCCCAGACCTCATGCCGTGCCCTAAGAACACAGCTTCAGGCTTTCTTGGGGTCATTTTGCAATGTCCCTGCCCTGCCCACCCCCATGGGGTAATGTTCCTGTCCCCAGAGCACAGCTCTCTCCTCCCTCCCCCCCATCCTTTTATTCAAGTGGATCCGCTGCGTGCCAGTTACATACTGGACATTGGGCCATGACAATGAGGGAAATGATGTCCAGGTACCCGGGACTTTACAGAGCCGCAGACAGCAGATCAATGGAGTGCAGGACTATAGCTCAAAGGAACCAAGCATGGGTGCACCCTGAGTTCAATCCCCCCACCCCCTGCACCCCTACCTCCAGGTGGGCGTGCACCAGAGAACAAGTTATCCACCATGTCACAGAGCCTCACATGCGCCCGCCCCCCCAGGGCTGCGAGGACCCAACAGGGAGGAGGGGGCTGGAGGGCTCCACTGAGGGGCTCTGGACCCAGCCCGGCTCTCTCTGTCACCCCCACCTGCCTCCTGACCTGACTCTGCTCCATACCCACCAGCAGAGCCGCCTTCATCTCTCCAGAGCCCCCACGAGCCCAGAGGCCTGGCTGGCCAGGAGCCCCTGGGCACCCATGCGGGAGCCCCATCCCCTGGGCAGCGGCTCCCCTGGCTCCGCTTCGGAGTGGGGTGGCAGGAAGGGGGTGCTGTGCTGGTTCCTGGCAGGAGAAAACCAGAGTGAGTGGATGACCTGTCCCCAAGGTCCCCAGGGCTAGACGAGCTCTCTGCCGTGGGACAGGCCGGAGTGTGGGGCAAAGTTGCTGTCTGTGGGCTACAGGTGGAAAGCATGGGGTTGTCCCGGCCGCAAACACAAATGGGCCTTTTCCTGCCGGTCAGCCAGTACCAGATGCCTAGAACTTTCCTGGGCCAAAGCAGGGGGCTGGCGAGGCTGAAAGCTTCCCCGCAGCCCCGCTCCACCCAGGGGCTCTCTCACACCCATGCCTGTGACCCATCTGTCCAGCCGTGAGCATGGTCAGAGTCCAAGGAAGTCTTCGCAGGTCCCGAGGCTTCCAGTGATGGCCAAGGCAAATAGCTCACAGGGCAGCGGCTGTAAGGGCCGAAGATACGGTGCAGATAAAACACCCAGCCAAGCCCCTGAATGCAGAGCCAGGAGTAAACCCTGAGCACAGCCGGTGTGGCCCCCAAACAAAACAGACCCTTCCCCAAAAGGTCTTAGGGTTTTTGGGGTTTTTTTGTTTTTTTGTTTTGCTTTTTGGGTCATACCCGACAATGCACAGGGGTTACTCCTGGCTTTGCACTCAGGAATTACTCCTGGTGGAGCTCAGGGGATCTTATGGGATGCTGGGAATCGAACCCACATCAGTTGCGTACAAAGCAAATGCCCTACCTGCTGTGCTATCGCTCCAGCCCCAGGGAAAGGTCTCAGGTGCAGACATGGGTCACAGGGCTGCAGCACGTGTCTTGCATGAGCAAGGCCCCGAGTTCAGTCTCGGGCACCACATGCCCCCTCCCCTGCAGCTGGCCCTAGTGACCCCCAACATCGAACCCTCAGATACACACCACCAAGCTAAGGCTCATGAGAGTAGACCCCCGGCCCCCCGCCAGCACCCCAGAAAACAACGGGACCTCCAGATAACTCAAAGGCTGGAGTGCACGCCACTTGGCATGCAGGAGACTGGCATCCATCCTGAAGCGCCCCAGGCAGTGACCCCCTCCCAGCCCCAGGGTCACTGCTGGGTGCCACCCAGAAATAGCAAAGCAAAGCCACACACCAGAAAACCATCTTCCTGCCCACAGTCCCTGGACAGAAGGAGGCCAGAGCGATAGCTGGAACGGGAGCCAGTGGTTATTGGTCCATCCCAAGAACCGGAAGGGGGCCTCAGTGTGTGTGTTGGGGGGGGGGGGTGAAGCAGGAGGGGGTTGAGAGAGATCGCAGGGCAGGGCAGTGGAGGGCGCCTGGGGGGTGTCTCCGGTTGTCAGCCCCCCGGCCCCTGAGCCAGCAGAGTGGAGAACGGGGCTGCTGACCAGCAAAGCTGAGGTCTACTTGGCCCATCAGGGCTGCCCAGTCAGAAAAACCTTGGGCCACAGTCGCTCTGGAAGCAAGGCCCTGCCGTGTTGACTTCCCAACCCAGGCTGTGGCCGCTCACCTCCAAGGACAGTGCCGGGCTCCTGGCTGGACACCGGACAGGCCGCCTGCCCGAGCCCAGCGTGGCTGGGAGGCCGGGGCGGGCAGGGGCTGGCTCCGGAGCAGGCTCAGCAGCAGGGACAGACACACTCTGGGTGAAGATTCTAGAAGGCATTGAACCCTTTCAAAGGGTAGCTTTTCCTGATCTCTGAGTCAGCCAAATAAAAACCTGAATCAGGGACTGAAGCGATAGCACAGCGGGGAGGGTGTTTGCCTTGCACGCAGCCAATCCAGGTTCGATTCCCAGCATCCCATATGGTCCCCTGAGCACCGCCAGGGGTAATTCCTGAGAGCAGAGCCAGGAGGAACCCCTGTGCATCGCTGGGTGTGACCCAAAAAAGCAAAAAAAAATAAAAAACACAGTGGGGACTTGAACGTGGCTGACCCAGGTTCGATTCCCAGCTTCCCATATGGTCCCTCAGCACTGCCAGAGAAATTCCTGAGTGCAGAGCCAGGAGTAACCCCTGTGCATCGCTGGGTGTGACCCAAAAAAAAAAAAAAAAAACCTGAAACCTGAAGGAAGAAAATGCACTGAGCCCTGCTGTCCCTGGGGGCCGGGGACTGGGAGTCTCTGCTAAGCCTCGGCCACCCCTCCCTCCATCCACATCTCAGAATCTGGGCTTCGAGCCCTTTCTGCCTGCCGGGGCTCTCCTGAGGCCGTGAGAAATGGGGTAACTGCCTGGTCTACCAGCCCTTGGTCTCACCAGCCGCTAGTGGAGGGATCAGAGCGCCCCCCTGTGGCCTTCCAGCAGCATCGCAGCTTCCCAGGCCTTGAAATTGTCCTGCTAAAATTTCCATGTTATGATAGGAAGACAACTTTTCTTCTTAAGGTAAGAAACAAGACCCTAAGAAAGGGTGAAAATAAAGGAGATAAATTAGCCACAGATACTAAAACTATTAGTACTTATAACCTGTGTCAGTCTTTAACAGAGAAGCAGTGTGAGAGGCCTGCATTAGCTCCGTGGCAAAGCGCCTGCCTCGGGAGCATGGGGCTGCGAGTTCAATGCCTGGCACCACTCATGGATGATGGGCACAGCCCTGGTAACTTTGCCACTTGGGATCCCCAGCATCACAGCTAAGTGTGGGCTGTGCAACAAGGAAATGGTGGTGAGGGGAGATGTATAGAAAGTTTAAATTTTCAAAGGGCCAGGGTGATAGGACAGCGGGTGGGCGTTTGCCTTGCATGCGGCTGACACGGGTTCGATTCTCAGCATCCCATATGGTCCCCCGAGCACCACCAGGAGTAATTCCTGAGTGCAAAAGCCAGGAGTAACACCTGTGCATCACTGGGTGTGACCCAAAAAGAAAAAAAAACAATTTTCAAAGGGCCAGAGCAATAGGACAGGAAGGGCATTTTCCTTGCACCCAACCTGGATTCCATCCCTGACATCATCTATGGTTCCCCGAGCCCACCAGGAGTCAGCCCACAGCATTACTGTCACTGTCCTCCCGTTGTTCATCGATTTGCTCGAGCGGGGTTTCCATTTTGAGACTTGTTACTGTGTTTGGCATATTGAATACGTCATGGGGAGCTTGCCAGGCTTTGCCGTGCAAGCGAGGTACTCTCGGTAGCTTGCCGGGCTCTCCAAGAGGGGCGGAGGAATCGAACCCGGCTCGGCTGGGCTGGCTGAGCACAAAGCAAATGCCCTACCACTGTGCTATCGCTCCAGCCCTGCCCACAGCATAACCACAAAAAAAAAAAAAATTTAAGAGGCACTTTAGGACACAGTTATGGAGTCACACCCACTCATTCTCCTGTCTTTTTTGTTGTTATTGTTTTGGGGGGAGTTGGTGGGGTATTTTGGTGTTTTATTGTTGTTGTTGTTTTTTTTTGTTTGGGGGCCACTCCCAGTTAATGCTCAGGGATTACTCCTGGCTCTTCCTCAAGAATCACTCCTGGCTGTGCTTGGGGGACCATATAGGGCTCTGGGGATCAAATCCAGACCAACTGCATGTATGGATACTCTGTACTATCACTCAGGCCGCTCACTCCCATGTCTTTGCCTGAAAAGGGAAATAGCAACGCCTTCCCCCAGCTCCATGGTGGGGGGGTTAGGCGGGGGCACACTGCAGGATGCCAGGCAGGAAGAGTCTGGCACAACGTACAAGGCCCTAGTTCAATCCCTGGCATGGCAAAAATAGAAAAGGTTTGAAAAATTAAAAAGTATGGTTGGAGAGACGTCACTGGCTGAATTCAGGCTTTGCATGCAGGTGGCCCTGGACCCATCCCAGCCTTCCAGACCTGCCAGGGGAGCGGCCCCTGAGCACCACTGGGTGTGACCCAAAAACCTAAGATATAAATAGTGAGCAAATAAATAATTTAAAAAGTTAAAGGAAAGAGAAGGGCATAAGGCCCACGACAAACGCAGCTCCCCCAGGCCCATGCTCTTGGTGCCCGCCTGGCACAGGGTGGGAGGGAGCAAGTGCCCGTCTGCTGCCCACCCCGACCTCTCCGCCGAGGCCTGAGCAGAGCTTGGACGTGGGCTCGTACCAGCCTCCCGAGAGGTGGGCCTCTGGCAGAGCGGCCCAAGCCAGGACAAACCAGGAGGTGTCCCCTGGTGGGAGGGATGCAGGGGGCAGTGGCCCGCACGGTGTGCCCCCGGAGATCTGCCCCCACCCCACCCCCATCCGCCATCTGTGCCCTAGACTGGAGGTGCCTGGAGCCGTTCTGGCCCTTGGTTGCTTATTCAATCCCAGCGCCCCTTGCCAAGCCCCCCTTAAGCCTCTTGGCTGTTCTTTTTGTCTTTTCTGATCAGCTGTATTTATTCTGAACTAAACGGTCCTCGCTGCGGGATGAAAGGGTTTTGCTGCTCTCGGGCCTGAAAGAAATCTTGGCTGCCTCGCAGCCCCGAGCCTGGCCCCCTCCTTCCTGCGCCCCACCCACTAGCTAGTGCCCCCCCCCCCAAGGCCAGGCAGGACCTGGCTGGTGTGCCCAGTGGTGGCGGGTGGCCGCAGCCCACTGATGGCGGGGCTGGTTGGGGGGGGCCTTGTCCTCTCTAATCCCTGCCACCCCCTCCCCTCAGGATCGTGCTCATGGACGACGCCATGGACTGCCTGATGTCCTTCTCCGATTTCCTCTTCGCCTTCCAGATCCAATTTTACTACTCAGGTGAGCGTCTTCTGGGGTCCCTGGTCCCTGGTGCTCCCCAAATCCAGCCTAGAGAGCTTCCCTCGGCCCCCTGGGGGCAGGGAGCCCAGCTTCCATACCCCTCCACACAACGCACAGCCCAAGAGAGACACAAATGCCCCGTTGGGTCAAAGGGAAAGAGTACATGCAGGCCTTGGGTCACTGTGCGTCACCACACAGGGTAAAGGCAGCCTTGACCAAACTCTCCCAGCATCCAGGCAGCAAACGGAGCACGTTTTTTTTCCTCTTTTTGGGTCACACCCCAAGATGCTCAGGGGTTACTCCTGGCTCTGCACTCAGGAATTACTCCTGGCAGTGCTCGGGGGACCATATGGGACACTGGGAATCGAACTCGGGTTGGCCACATGCTAGGCAAATGCCCTTCCCACTGTACTATTGCTCCAGCCCACAAACGGAGCACTTAATCCCCACAGCCACCCCACCACGGGCCCTTAGAGAAAGAAGCTCCAGGTCCTGGGAGGGGGGGCGGGGGAGCCCCAGCCGCAGCGCAGCCTGGCCCGGGGAACCCCTGACTTTGATCCCCCTTGGCCCTGGGTCCCAGCAGCACCTCACTGAGAGTCGTGATCACTGAACTGTGACCCCAGCCCTCACCCTGAAAGAAGGAGGCCCTCAGGGGCGAGTAGCCCAAGTCACACTGCCCAGGGGAGGTGCTGTCCCCAAAGCCAGCAGGCCCGACTTCTGCTACCTTGCTCCAGCTGGCTCATGTCCTTGGCCTTGACCCTTGCCCGGGTGGCCGACAGGCTAGAGGGGTGGACAGGGGGAGTGGTGGTACCTGGGGTCACTCCCAGGAATGGGGACCCAGCAGAGCCAGCCCGACAGCTGTGTGCCCAGGCCTGGCAGTGCAGGACATGGAACTCAGGGCATCTTCGTGCCCAGCAGGCGCGCCAACCCTTGGCGCCTCTCCCACGCGCCCCCAGCAGCAAGCAGCTATGCACTTACGAAGTCCCCGCGGGAGTGAGGTGGCACAGAAATAGACGGATAAACACCAGGACCCGGCAGGGCACACAGCGACATCAAATGCAGTGTTGGGTTTAGAAATTGCTGACCATGTTCCATAAACAAGCTTGTTTGAGACAGGCCTGCCAGTAAACACAGGCCCTCTGCGGAGCTGTGACCCAGCCTTCCCGCCAGCCGGGGCCTCCGCCAGCTCAGCCTGGACAGTGGCAGCACCGGGGGCTGGTCCGGCAGGGGCTGGAGTCGGTGTGCCGCCACCTGCTCCCCAAAGACCCCACCCAGAGCAGCCTCAGGGGAGCAGCTCTCCTCCTCATTGCCTCCCAGGGTCCCCTTCTCGTAGCTCCCACAAAGGGGACAGCAGCGTTCACACACCCTGTACCCGCACTGCACGCAGGGCTGCCGGGAACGTGACTGTGGCAGACAGCGTACGAGCTTTTTTATTTTCTTTCGTTTGGGGCTACACCTGGCCACGCTCCTGGCTCTGCACTTGGGAATTATTCCTGGCGGTACTTGGGGGACCATATGCCGGGGATCAAACCCGGGTCAGCCGCACGCAAGGCAAACGCCCTGTCTGCTGTGCTATTGCTCCGGCCGCCCGTGTGCGAGCTTTTGTGTGCACGCCTGCTCGCTTGCTCTCTCCCCAAACTCTCTCCTTTCTCTCTCTCTTCCATTCTCTCTCTCCTCTCTTCCTCTCCTCAACCCTCGCTCTTCCACTCCTCCTCCCTCCTTCCCTCTTGCTCTCTCTCCTTTCCTCTCTAATTTCCTCTCTCTTCTCTCTCTCTCTCTTCCCCTCCCTCCCTCCCTCCCTTCAGGCAGAGCTGGGCATTACTCCCAGCTCAGTGCTCAGGGAACTGTGGTGCTGGGGATCAAAACCCAGACCCGTTACGGGAGCTGACTGGGCCTTTGGAAGCACGTTTCCACCTAACGAGGAGATAGGTCATGTCTCCGGAAAGATGTCCCAGAACACCAAGGGTGGCACAGTGCTGCAGAGATGCAGGGACGCACTTGCCCTGTGTGGGTGAGGAGGGTCACCATGGGTAGGTGCGGGGGTGCCTGCTTAGCAGGTGGGAGGCCCAGGCTCGATCCTGGCACCACATGGCTCCCCCAACCCCGCGAGAGAGCTCAGTGAGCACAGAGTCAGGAGTCTGAGTTTTGCCTGGTGTGGCCCAAAAAGTACAAGAAGAAAAGGAGCTGGGAAACGCAGACCAGGGACTCCCACTGCCTGGAGGAAAGGGACGTCCTACTGTCACAAGAGGCAGATGGGAGGGGGACAGGTGGGGACGGGCCACAGCAGAGGAGGGAAGATTCATGATGGTGCCGGGCGGGGGTCCTCCGCACCCTCTAACCTCTGCCCTCCCTGTGGCCCACAGAGTTCCTGGAGAGCGTGGCAGCCATCTACCAGGACCTGCTGTCCGGCCGGACCCCCAACACGGTGGTCGTGCCCACGTCGTCGAGCGGGCAGCACCGCCAGCGGCCAGCCCTGGGCGAGGCCAGCATGCTGGAGGGCGTGGAGGCATCACAGTTCTCCCAGCGCCTGGAGAGCCTGTGTGATCGGCATAAGTACAGGTGTGGGCGGCCGGGGCCCTTCAGGTGTCTGGGGGCTCCCGCCCAGTGACCAGGCCCGGCAGAGAGTGGGAAGAGGAGGGTCCCGGAGGAAGGGATGGTTGCAGCTGCCCATGCGGCCCTGGGCCCCTTGGGGGACAGAGCCACCAACTAGGTTCCAGTAGAGGCTGCACTGTTCACCCCTAGCACCGGCCTCACTCCTGCATTGTCAGGCCCCCGGGGCCTGCAGGTCGGAGTGGGGGCCGGGGTGAGGATGGGTCTCTGAATGTGGCCTCTCTTGCCTCCCTTCCAGCTGCCCGCCCCTGGCGCTTATCAAGGAGGTCCTAAGCAATGTGCAGAGACTGACGTTCTACGGATTCCTCGTGGCTCTCTCCAAGCATCACGGGATCAACCAAGCCCTCGGTAAGCCGGGGCCATGGAAGGGCGTCGCTGCGGGCAGACGCACGAGCTCCTTGATGCGGGGCTCTGGAATGTTCTGCCAAAGGCCATGCCTCTCCCAGTCCTGCCCCAGCATGAGGCTGCCCCTCCTCCCTGGCTCCAAGGGCCTAGCTCCGCCTACCAGGCCCCCAGAGTGCTCAGTGGCTCGGGAGTAAGGGGTCTAGCACCACTGCTGTACCTGCAAGGCCTCGCCTACCCGCCAACAAGAAGCGAGCCTTCCTTCCCTCCCAAAGGGAGCAAAGCCTCGGGCTCAGCCCTGCTCTCCCAGCTCCAGAGTCTACAGCACAGAGCCCAACAAAGGGTCCCGCGGGGCTGAGAGACAGCGCTGTGGGGGAGAAGCACACAGCTGACCCAGTCCAGGCCTGGGCACCAGATCGGGTCCCAAATAAAGCAAATGGGCTGGAGCGATAGCACAGTGGATAGGGCGTTTGCCTTGTACATGGCCGATCCGGGTTCAATTCCCAGCATCCCATAGGATCCCCTGAGCATCACCAGGAGTAATTCCTGAGTGCAGAGCCAGGAGTAACCCCTGTGCATCGCTGGGTGTGACCCCCCCCCAAAAAAGCAGTTCAGACCACTCAGGAGGGTGAACTGCAGGTCTGTGGCCCCCCACCAGGCTTCTTCCTCGGCCGCACCCACCCTAGGGAGCTGGCCAGCACCTGCAGCATCTGACCCCCAAGTGGCCTTCACCTGCTCAGGAACTGGCCAAGCTAAGCACTTCTAGCCCCTTTCTAGCCCAGACCTTGGGGCCCCCATGGCTGGACAGTTGCCCATAGGGACCCTGTAGCCTGTACGTGGGGGGTGTGGCAGTGTGGGGGTGCCCCTGAACCCCGGAGCAGCAGGCAGCTGGTCTCCCTAGAGCTAGCAGCGTGCTACCCCCACCACAGTGCTCCTAAGATGTCCGGACGGGGGGAGCTCATAGGGGTAGCACGCAAGCGCGAGGCCCCCAAGTCAAATGCACACTGCAGCGTGTGGCCCCGTGGAAAACACCCCAAGCTCCTCCAGAGTGTCAGCCGGGCCCCCACTCTGACTGATAAGGGTCCAGTAGTAGGGTCGACTCAGCTCTGGGTGCCGCACTTCTCTCCTAGGAGCTTTGCCTGGCAAAGGGGACCTGATGCACGACCCCGCCATGGACGAGGAGCTGGAACGGCTGTAAGTGTCGGGTGGGACTCTATTGCCCCCTTGTGGGCAACCAGTCCGCTGTCCGTCAGGGCCGCGGGGCCTGTAGCGCCCCTGGTGGCCAGCGCAGGCGTGGCCAGTGCGCGCTCACGGTGGTGCCTCAGAGCCCTGGGCAAGCGTGGGTGCAGCTTCATCCAGACACACGGAGCGTGGCCACCCTGGGCTCTGGGCAGAGGCACCTCACTGCCCTCGGGGTCCTTCCCTCCTCCAGGCTGGCCCAGGTCCCCGGCCTGGTCACCCCAGTCTCGGCCAGTCCGGAGGTCAGCCACCTGCCTGCTGGGAACCCTCCCCGAGTTGGCTCCCCCTGGAGACCCCTACACCACGCCCGCAAAGCGGATATGGAGAGCGATGGTTCCAACGACGAGACAGATGAATCCGAGACCTGAGCAGCCCGGGGGTCCCGTGTGCAGCGCCCCTTCCCCGAATCCCACCCAGGCCCAGGGACTCCCACCCTGCACCCTCTCTGCGCCCTGCTGCCCGTGGGCTGGTGACAGGGCCGAGTACCAGCCCCCATGCTGACCTGCCAGCTGCCCTCCCTGGCCCTGAGTCACATCCCCGGACCCCGGCTTGTACTGAGGCGCCAGGAAGGTCATTTGGTTTTGTGGGCTGCGGGCAGTCACCCCGGAAAGTTCGTCTCACAACAGCAGGTAGAGTGAGACCGTGGAGTCACACCGCGCTTCCGGTGGGCAAGGGGGACCCTGTGATATTTGTGGGAGGACAGAGCCAGGGTGGCCTTCGGAAGGGACGGCCGCCAGCCATAAGCTCGACAGGGTGGGGCAAGTTACTCTCTTTCAAAACCTGCTTCAAGACCCCCGTGTCTCCTAGTTAAACACATGAAATGAATAAAAAATCCCTTGTGTCTGCTCAGAGGCGAGTCTAAGGCTCCTGGAATAACATGGGTGAAGGAAGGGCTGAGTGGAGCTGTGGTCTGGTGTCTTGGGCAGGAGTGGAAAGTGGGACAGAGGACTCCTTGAGCCAGGAGCAGCCTCAGAGCAGAGAGGCATCCCCCTATGGGGGTCACAACAGGGACAGAACATCCCCGGCAGGCCTCAGGCTCCATCCCTGGCACCACATGGCCCCACAGAACCAATGGCTTGTCACCCTAGTAGTCCCCAACACCCCAAAGCCAGGTGCCCCAAGTTTCAAGGCCCTGGTAGGGTAAGCTTGACAAAACCTTGGAGCCAATTTCAGTAAGTGCATGCCAGGCTTTGGGCAAGGGCCCTGGGGACATGGCAGTGAACAAAAGAGCCGGGACCAGGGTCAACACAGTGGTCTGTGGCATCCTGGACTGGACAGGGGTCCTGAAGCGAGCAGAGCCCCTCTGGCAGCCCAAGGAAAACCGTCACTTTCACGCCATTCTATTTCCTGGGCTTGTCCTAGTTTCAGAACAGCCCTGAGGGCTCAGTCTGGCAGGAAGCGCCAGGCCCCGAGCGCCCCTGGCACCAGAGTCCTGAGGTGCACTGTCCCTCAGGAGGTTCATTCGCAGACTGGACTGGGGCCCCTCGCACCCGCAGTTTGGAACTCACCCAAGGGCACTCCTCCTGTCCCTCTGAGACTCAAGGAGACCCTCTACAGGTCCAGATGTCCCAAGAGCCCCAGAAGGAAGCCCCTGTAGGGAGAAATGACCATTCCAGGGGGCTTACGGGCACACACCCCCTTTCCTCCCGAACACTTAAGCGTTCCATTCAGGGCGTGCCCACACACACCCCGCCCCAGCCCGCTGCCCAGCGCCCGTCCCCGAGGCCGCAGCCACTAACGCCGCCTTTTCCTCCGCGTGCCACAGGATGGTGAGGTCCAGGCTGCACCGGAGCGCGCGGCAGCACAGGGCCGAGGAGCCCGGGGCCTTTGGCTTTCACAGAAGAGACACGCCGGAGGCCCAGGAGAGAGCGCCCTCGGCTTCGGCACCGACGCCCTACCCCCGGTGGGACCCCCAAGACTGACAGTAGGGCAAGGGGCTGAGCGCAAGGACACTGCGTCACTCAGAGCAGCGGGGCCGGGCCCCCGGCTTTATTTGACACCACCTGGTTCAATACACACGGTCCAGAAAGACAGTCCTGTCCCTTGGGGGAGGGGGCAGCGGGGAGGCCTGTGGCGGGGTGCCTCCCCCGCCCCGCATGGCGGGCCACCTGCTGGTTGCATGGTGGGGGACGGCATGGGGCGGAGTGGGGGGGATAGATGGGGGTCAGTGTGCCCAGCAGCCCACAGGACACACCTGCAGCTCTGGGGGTAGGACTCTGTCCGGCCCCATAAACCTTAGATGCGGCCAGAGAGTGGAGCCCCAGAAACTGCTGCTGGCCCCCCGCCCTGTGCATCCATGGCCGGCACCACACACTCCCCTGGCCGTGAAGTCGGGAGAGGGACAGAGTCCGGGGGCCCACGATGGACGGCACAGAAGGTGCGGGACGCCACAAGGAACTGCCAAGTGGGCACTGAGGGAGGGGTGCCATTCCACGGCTTGCCCCGGGACCCCCAAGGGAGCAGGACGTTCCGAGCCCAGGAGAAGACAGGCCAGGGTCCTCCTTCCCTGCTGCTCCGGCCCAGACCGCCCCGTTGCCCCCAACCTAGGATCCTAGAGCCTTGCCCTGTCCCCTTTCCCTGCACGGGGCTGCCAGCCCTGTAACAGGGCGGGGCAGGATGGGAATGGAGCGTGGAGGGGCAGGGAAGCGAGGACTGAGCCAAGAGGCGGAGATCACCCGCTCCCCGACATCCCCAAGGCCACCCCGTCACACAGCACACAGAGCCGGTCCTCCCGCTGCAGGCAGTCGTCAGTAGGAACCGTAGCGATCCTGGGGAGGGGGAAAAGTCAGGGCAACAGTAACTCACCGGGTACCCCCACCCCCACCCCGCCCGACCCCGCACCTGCAGGGAGTTCATCACGCCGTTGGCCAGCACGGCCATCTTCCCAGCCACTGACTTGACGCCCTGCTTGAACTGGGCGATGTCGGCCGCAGGGAGCACGTTCCCCAGAGACACGCTGCCTGTGGAGACAGGCATGGGGTGAGCCGGCCCAGAGGCGCCGGCCAGTCCCCGGGACACCCGCCCCGCTCCCGGGGTCCTACCTGCTCCATGCGCGCCGTCCAAGTCCCCAAAGAGGTCTGAGGAGCTGATGGCGCTGCTGCCTGCGAGCTGCTGCAGCCGCGACCTGGCCTCGTACTGCGGGGAAGAGGCGGGCTAGGACCGGGCCAGACCCTGCGGCCCCGTACCCTGCCCACAGCTCGCGTTCCGGCCAGCCCCCTACCCCAGCCCCCTCACCTCTGTGTCCACCTCCCGCCCGAAGAACATGTCTGAGGAGATGGCTTTGGCGCCGGCGAATTTCTGCCGTGCTTCGCTGGATTCGAGGCCTGAGCTCCGGCTCTCCGCTTCCCTCCGATTGGTGACTCTGTGGGAGGATGGAGACATGTCTGAGAAGCACCAGGGGACCCCCCCCCCCCAGGAACAGCTGGCAGGGGGCCACATCTCAAGGGCCCGGGGCAGGGGCCAGCATGAGAGCTGAGACCCCGAGCAGGGGCCGAGCAGCAGAGTGGGACCCAGCCCCAGAAGCTACAGCTTTACTCATGGTGAATAGGGATGGTGTGAGGCCCCACACCCGCCCTCCTCCCTGACCCCCCCAGTCCCCACATGGGGTACCAGAGTTCCAGAGTGTCCCAACACTCTGCCTTCCCCGGTATTGCACTGGACGCACCCCTTAACAGTGCACCCCGGAGGGGATGGAGCAGGTCACATCTCCACTAGAGACAGGATGACCTGCAGATGGCTTACAGTTAAGCACTATCCAGATGGGTGGAGGACGCTTTTATTTAAAAAAAAAAAAAAAAAAAAAAGCAAGAGCCACGATGCTGCTCAACACCAGAGCACTTGCCTTGCGCGTGCGGCCTTGGGTCCATCCCCAGAACCGCAGCAAAAAATATCTTCATAAATGAGAGCCAGGGAGAGAGAACCCCAGGGTGGGCAGGACTCAATCATAAAATCCAGCCGCTTCTGCGGCTGCTAGGCCATGTGGGAGCGCAAAGCAGAGGTGGGAGCCAGGCCCCATCTTGCTCCACCCAAGGCAGCAGCCACTGGCTGAGGGAGGCTATTTCCAGTTACTGATGAAGGTCAAGGAAACACCCAGGTGCTCAGCAGCGCCCCCAGTGGCCACCACACATAAAGGCCACTGCACAGCACATGCCCGGCACCGCTCACCTTTCAGATATGGGCCGGATGCTGGAAATGGTCACCTCGGGCTCCTTCTCCTCCATCCGGTCCATACCCCAGGTGGTATCCGAATCCCAGTGGGAACCAAAACTATCCCCCAAGGAGAAGGGGTTGTCCTTGTACCTGGGGAGAGAGTAGAGGGGGTCAGAGGGGCTCAGGGTGGCTGACGAGGATGGCCGTGCCCAAGTCCCAACCGCAGCCTTACTTCGGGGGTCCAGAGGCAAAAGTGCCAACATCGTCGAACAAGTCAAGCTGGGAACGGGCGGACTTTGCGCTCACCGGAGTCTCCTGCTCGATGACCTGCATCTCCGAGAGGGCCGAGTGCGAGACGGAGCTGGGTGGGCGGAACAGAAGGTGTCAGCAGTGGGGGCCCAGGGAGGGGGGAGTGGGCATGGGCTCCACTACCCCAGCTCTCCTTCCCTGGACAGAGCCCACATCCCCAGCCAGTGACCAGGTTCCTGTCAGAATACCTGCACATCTAGTCACTGAAGTATTTATAGTATCTACAGCAAAAAAACAAAAAACGGTATTTACCACATAGGAATTAGGGATGCCGAGAGCCCCCCACTTCTCAAGAATTCCTCGAGGGGAATTCTGGCATTCCCCTAAGAATCTTTAACCTCAGGGTTGGGGATGTGGCAGAGTGCGAGAGTGCACGCCTGGCCCGTGTGAGGCCCTGGCTTCCACCCCCAGCACCACACGGATCCCAAACACTGCCAAGTATGCCTCCCCATAATTTAAAAAAAAAAAAAAAATCTAACAAAAACCACTGCACAAGTCTCATGGCTACACCGCAAGCATCTGATTCCATTTTGGTCATTTCTCACCGTGTGTCCAGCACCACCCAAACATAAGGACAAGAAGCCGATCCCGGGAAGACCAGACGGATGGGGACTGGGGGGAGGGTGCACCTGCCCCCTGCGCCCTACCCCCCCCCCCCCCCGCACCCCGGGTCCTGCAGCGCCTCACCTCCGGGACACCAGGCCCATGCCCAGCCTCTCGGCCTGCTCTCGCTTCTTCCCCTCCAGGCTCTGCAGCTTCTTCTCCTCCTTCTTCCGGTCAATCTGGAGCTCCTGGTAGGCCAGCCGCATGGAAGCCACCCTGGGAGGGGACACACGGGCCACATCAAAGCCGGCAGGGACAAGACTCCTCCCAGCCCACAGAGCCCCCCCCCCCCATCGCCGGGGGGCCCACACGCACACGGACTCCTCGGCCTGCTTCTTGGCGTCGGCCGCCTGCTGCTCGCGCAGCTTCTCTGCCACCTGCGCCTGCCGCTCGATCTCGCTGAAGCTCTGGCCGCTCACCTTCTGGGCCCCCAGGCCCTTCTTGGCCCCCAGCTGTGAGAAGAAGCTCCGATGGAGACCCCCGCCAGCCGGTGCAGGCCTCGGTGGGGCCACGGCTCCTGCTCCCCACCCTCCAACCACACCCGTCACCCCACGTACCCCTTTCTTAGCAGCTGCTGGCTTCTTCTTGCCAATGAGGGAGGTTTTCAGTTCTGCGTGGGATTAAAGGATGCATAAGCGGGACGAACGGTCAGAGGCCGGCACACCATGCAGCTTCCAGATCCGCTCCAGGCAGGGAACAGCAAAGCTGCCGCGTCGGTGCAACCGCGGTATTTCCAGACAGCCCGAGCCACACACAAGCCCAGCAGCTAGTGACAAGAACCTAGGCCTGGAGCACTAGAGACAAAGTCCTAAAACCACACAAGGCCGCTGGGCGGGGGGGGCACCAACTGGCAGCCTCAGTGGGGCGCTGGCGTGCAAGGGGCGGGACCCCCAGCTGCCTGGTTACCTCTGGCAGGAGGGGCCCCTCTAGGAGACAGATACATGGCCTCTGGAGAGAAACAGACTGTGGCTAACAAGGCGCCCTGAGCCTCACTTCAGCCCATCAGACTATCCCAACTGGCTTCCTGACCCAACGGCGAGGTCAACCCACGCCCAGGATCAAGGCTGTGGGAGACAAAGAAAGGGAGGAAAAGAACCAAGGACCAAGCAGGACACCAGCAGGGAATGACGTCACCAGCTGCTCCCCATCCCTTACAATGGGCCCATGGTGCCTCCAGCCCCAAGATCCTATGTCTAGACCCCCATACCCAGAGACCAATCCCCGTGCACCAAGTCTGTTCACCCCTGAATCTGGTTCCAGGGTCCTCCCCATCCATGTGACCGCCCCATCTCCCAGCCCCAGTCCCTGTCCAGGCTCCTGAGGCCTCAGCCCACCTGAGGAGGTGACCGCAAATCTGAAGACAGCCCCCCCACAACCCCCTTTAAAGGCATACTGACCCAGAGACGCTTTGGGTGAGGTGCTCAGCAGGTCCGTGGTGGGGCCGTGCTCCGGCTCTGCGGGTACAAGGGCAGCAGTCAGGGATGGCGCCCAGATGCCCAGCACCCCCCTGAGGGAATGGACGGGTCAGGGCAGAGAGGGTCTGGCATTCCTTGGCCAGCTGAACCCACTGAAAGCCACAGGGAGGCCCACCTCTTCCTTCACAGGACTGCGAGAACACACGGCCCACCCAAGGACAGGTACACCCTCACGCTGACCCCTGGGCCAGGAGGCCACTCTGCAGGCCCAGGGCCCTGGCAGGGCTCAGGACCAGACTCACGTGCTAGGCTGCCACTGTCCACACATGGGGCTGGCTGCAGGTTCTCTGTGGGCTCGGAGACTGGCACGTTCCAGGCAGGAGGCTGAAAAGGAAGCCAGATAACAGACACCCCAGTGAGGCAGCACTACTGGCAGGAGCATCAAGAAGCCACGAGAACCTTGTGGCGAGGATACGAGGCCTACTCCCGCCCATGAGATGAGGAGACAGAGGGGCAAGCGAGATCATAGCTGCTGCTCCAACACCTGACCCTGAGGATCTTCTAGCCTAGTCCATCCTCTAGCTTAAGAGCGTTTCCGGATAGAAACAGCAAACCCGGCAAAGCAAAAGTCGCTCCGTTTTAGGAATGAAGGTTGTGACCGGTGAGGCAGCTCTGCCACTGTCCTATAATGCAAAGGGCAGGGTGCAAGCTGAGTCTGACCCCTGCGCCCCGAGCCAACAGCGGGAAAAACCCTCCTAGGTAGGAAGGCTGGAGGGAACCTGCTCACTGTCTCTCGTGGCAAGAACCAAGAGTGGTTCAGGGCTCCAAAAATCTCCGAAGTCTTCAATAAGCTTTGAGGCCAGAAAAAAAGTGGAAGGGTTCAGGTGCATGAGGCCAACCCCAGTTCAATCCCCGGTATCCTATATGGTCCCCTGAGCACAGAGCCAGAAGTCCCCCAGCACCACTGGGTTTGGCCCAAAAGCACAAAGACTTCTGAGAAGGGTCTCCTCTCTCCTCTCCCAGATTTAGGGGTCTACTCCTTGGAAGAGTTCCACTGCACCCCTTACACCAGAAGAGGAAATGCCTGGTCTGCCAGCAGAAGAGCCCAGGCATTTCCATGTGAAGGAACAAGACAAAGCCAGGCAGCCACATCCAGGATGACAGTGGCCCTGGCTCAGGCAAGCAAACCAACGCCCCTCAGGGCCCCACTCACTTGAGTGTGTTCCGTGAAGAAATCTGGGTCCTTCTTCTCTGGGGAGTGACTGGACGCACTGCTCAGGTTGTCTATCCACAGCTGGAGGGGAGCAGACACCACTCTGAAGCATGGGGCACTGACCACTCCCGCGTCCCCCGCTCCCAAAGCCCCAAGGACACACACGTACATCGGTGCCGTGCCGGGCCAGAGCGGCACTCCCCAGTTGCCGGATCTTTTCCCGGTACATCTGGGCGGCCCGGCTATTGTATTTGGTGTTGGCATCGTTAGCTGTGCACCCATGCTGGCGGAAGAAAGCTGTCTGAAAGGCAGAAAAAATAAAAGTACAGGTGATTCTCTCAGAGCGAGAGACACATATAGCCCCCCCAAAACTGCTTAGTCCTATAGAACAATGTGCTCCAACACCAGCAACTTTCCACGTAAGAAATCGTTCCCAGGGGCTGGAGCAACAGCACAGCAGGTAGGGCATTTGCCCTGCATGCAGCTGACCCGGGTTCAATTCCCAGCATCCCATATGGTCCCCCAAGCACCACCGGGAATAATTCCTGAGTGCATGAGCCAGGAGTAATCCCTGTGCATCGCCAGATGTGACCCAAAAAGAAAAGGAAAAAAAGAAATCGTTCCCAGATTCTCCGAAACATTGCAAAACGGGGCTTTGCAATGACTGACAAGAAGCGCAGCCCTCAGCACACCATGACGCCCAGAGACCTCCAGGACAAAGGGGGCCCCCATTCCCTTGGCTTTTCCCCCCCAAGAACACCTGTCCAGTTTATTTGGTCTCCGAAGCCCCTTTGAAAAGCATAACTGCTTTCCATATTTAGGAAATCTGCAAACAGCGCTCCCGTCCCAGAGAAGGAACCCTCTGAACCAACAGGAGATGTGGGCCTCGGAGGAGCAGTAGAGCCATGAGTACCCAGGCAGAAGGGGGCGGGCGAGGAGCGGAGGAAGGAGCTTTACCGCGTTGGCATTCCCGCCGACCTGCATACATCTCAGCTGGAACCAGTTCCAGTTGGAATCCAACTCTGTGGACCTGTGAGTAAGGGCTGCGTGTCATCCACCCGCAGATCCCGGGTGACGCTCCCTTGGCACAAGCACCGCGGTCGCCTCGCCTCCGGCGGCAGAGGGCACCCGGATACTGCCATCCGTCACCACCCTACTTCCTCCTCTCCGCGGTCCACGGAAGCTTTGCTCTTCGCTGATCAAAAAGGTAACCAATGGGGCTGGAGCGATAGCATAGCAGGTAGAGTGTTTGCCTTGCACGCTGCCGACCTGGGTTCGATTCCCAGCATCCCATATGGTCCCCGGAGCACCACCAGGAGTAATTCCTGAGTGCAGAGCCAAGAGTAACCCCTGTGCATCGCCGGGTGTAATCCAAAAAGCGGGGGGGAGAAAATTTTAAAAAAGGTAACCAATTCTTTCCTCGGGTCTGCACGGACAGGCGCGTTCTCAAGCACTGCAGCCGCGGTTCGGGGGCCGTGCCCTGAACGACTGACACGGTGTCACTAGAGAGCCCCGTGGGCCAGGCCATCCGCAACAACCAGGTCGACGAGGAGCACTTTCTCCCCGCGACGAGGCTGTGTGTCCAATCTGATCGCCAGGAATTAACCAAGTTTCGCCACCGGACTCTAAGAGATCAACCGCCTCTGCGACCCCGGGTCCCCCGGAGGCCACCGGATCCGCGGCCGGGAGGTTCGGAAAACACCGAACTCGGCGCGGTCCGCGGCGAGCCGGTCCCGCTTCCCACGCCCGCCGTTGCCCCGAGTCCCGGGCGCCAGGCTCACCTACCTGATGAAGCTGACATGGACGCCCAGGGAGCGGTGCACGCCCGAGCAGTCGATACACAGGAACACCCCGTACGTGATGCTGGCCCAGCTCGGATTCTTGGCGCCGCAGTCGAAACAAGCCTGGGCGGAGGAGACAGATGCGAGACGCACTGACTCAGGTCAGGGCGCCTGAGCCCGGGCCGGCCGGGCGCTGACACCCCGGGAAAACGGCGCCTGCCGGCCCGCCTCCCTCCCTCAGGCCTCCGGGGGGGAGCCGGGAAAGCCCCTCCGGGCCCGGGCGAGAGCCCACCCGCCGCCCGCTCACGCACTTTGTTGGTCGGGACCGCGCGGAGCCGCTTAAACAGAGTCTGGATTTCGGTCTTGCTCGGCTCGGCCGCCATCCTCTCTCCTTCCCAGGCACCACCGCGGCCGACGGGTCCCGCCGCGGGCCAATCGCGGCCGGGCCGGTGGGCTGAGCCGCTCGGCCTCCGCGGCGGGGGGTGGGGCCGAGCCGCCGCGGGGAGCGGGGGCGGGGTGATCCGGGCCAGGCTGGACCAATGAGGCCGGGGGACGGGAGCGGAGACGTCAGCCGTCCCGGGCTCGCTATTGGTCCTCGGGGGCAACGCCCCCCGCCGGCCAGGAGCCAATCCGGGGCGGAGCGACGGCTCGCGGGCCGGCCCAAATCGCGCGGGTGCTGGACGCGCGCCCTCTCCCAGGTGGAGCCACCCGCCCTCCAGGGCTGACACCCAGGCCGCTGACCCCGGCCTTAGCCCGGACCCCTTCCCACGGGCCCGAGTAATGATTAATAGCCCTAGCGGGTGCCCCTGACCCGCAGCCTGGCCCGAACAGGAAAAAACAGTGGCCGCGCTCCCGCCCAGTCCAAACTCCGCCCCCGGCCTCAATCCGGCGGTCGGGAGCTGATCTCTCTCGAACCCTTTCCGCCAGAGTTTAGATTCCCCAGAGCGGCATAACAGGTTCCAAACCCGCGCCCGCCCCCGCGAGTCACACTCCAGGCCCACAGATCTCCCCTCCGGGCCTCTCCCTGGATGCCCTCTGGAGGCCTGGCAAGGTGAAGTGTGGGAAAAAAATAAACAAGACAGTGTTTTGTTTCCCCAAGTTTAATACACACTAGAACAAGTCACAAAAGGTGTCGTTAGCCCAGAACTATACTCAGCCCAAGTCCACCCCAGGAACTCCAAGACACAGGACCAGGAACTGGGCCCAAGGCTCCTGGGGAGAGAGACCCAGTCATCCCTGAGCCTTTCTGTCACCTTCTGAACCCCCCATGCTCCTCTCAGCCTGGCCTCAGTTGGCCTTTCCCCCAAGTCCCTTCCTAAAGGCAGGCCCCTCCCCTCCCTGGGTTCCTGGATCGCCACCCATGTCAGGGGACAGAGGGGCTGCAAGGGGCTCGGGGCTCAGGGCCCTGGAGTCCGGTTGTCCGGGAGCATCTGGGCTCTGACTAGTGATGGAGAACTTTGCAGAAGAGGTCGAGGCGGCTCAGGCTCCCACGCACTCCACGTAATTGGCAGGATACAGACCGATGCGGCCGCTCTGCAGTTGGCCCTGACACCAGCCCTGCTCGTCCTCCTCGCTCATTTTCAGCAGCTCCTCCCCTGGGGGGGAGAGGGCGGGGTCACGGCCCAGGCCCCGCCCCCCGTCCTGCAACTGGGTCAAGGCCAAGCAGGAGGGGGGTGGCGGAGAGTTCAGCGGGGGAGAAGGGCTGGGGTTCAGGCAGAGGGAGGCCCAAGGCAGCCCCCCACCCCCAGCCCGGGCCCCCACTGGTGACTGAGAGACAGGCTCAGGGGTTTTACCCAATCCTGAGTCTGGACTTGTGTCAGAGAACTAGCCCTCAAGGAAGAAGGGTCCACAGGTCGGGTGTACCCAAGTTCCACCCTACTCAAGCTTCAAGGCGGAAGGAGGGGTGTGGAGCAGGGGAGAGGAAGGGGGTCCCAGAGTACCTGCTCGGAAGCTCAGCTCATCTGCTTCCTGGCCGGCATAGTCATACAGGGCCCGCACCCGGACCCCAGCAGCAGCTTTCCGGGTGCTGTCCTCATCCGACCACTCCTCTTCCTGCCCACTGCTGCAGGGGAGAGGCAGAGGGCACAGGGTCACACCCAGGAGCCCAGGACTCAGGGACAAGGGCTCATCCCCAAGTCTTGTGGCTGCCAGTCTGGTGTGAGCGCTCATGACCACCCCCAATGCCTCCCAGAGCTGACGGTAAGAAGGCATGGGGAGTGCCTGGTACCCCTAAGCCACCCTGAAAATGGGAATCTTCCCAAGTGCCAACTGGCCCCTTAGCCCAGCTCTGCTTCAGTCTGCTTCTGGGGTGAAGGGAGTGAAGCAGAGAGAGAGGAAAGGAGGAGGGAGTCTTCCCTTCCCACACTCAGGTTCCTGGCTCTCACCCTGGGGACCCCGGGGACTGGGGTGGGGGCACAGTGCCATCTCTGGTGGGCACGATGCTGGTCAGAGTAACCTCATCAGGGCTCCGGCTGCCCTTCTCCTTCCGGCTGATAGTCCTCTGTGTGTCCAAGGACCACTCCTGTGGGGACAGGGCGGTGAGGGGGTCACCCTGGCCTGCGGGCCGCACAGTGACTGAAGGCCAGGCTTGTTGTCCCCAACACCCATCGGCCCCAGTCCCTGCCCCCACCTCCCAGCCTCAAAGACACACCTCAAACTGCGGCCAGTTCATGGCCATGCCTGGCCCGTGGGTGCTGCGCCACCAGCGCAGGTCCTCCTCATGGCTGACTGCCTCGATGCCCTGATGCAGGTCCTGATGGAGCTCGTGGAACCTGGGGTCCAACCGAGGCACAGCTTTCAGACAGGGCAGTCCCGAGCTGCACTTCCCAAGCCCCTTCTACCCAACCGGGAATTGGGGGGGGGGGGGACTTGGGGAGGAACGGGAGGCGCCCGCACCTCTGGTTGCTGGAGAGGTCGAGGTGCTGGTGGAGGGTGAGCAGCATGTCCTTGAAGAAGACAAGGCGCTGGCGCTCGGCGGTCTGGCAGCTCTCGAAGGCCTGCTCCATGTCCTCCATGTAGCGCGGCGTGTAGCGGTGCAGCTCGGCCAGTGTCTGCTCATACTGGCTTTTCACCTGGGTGGGGAGCACAAGTCCTTCTTCTACTCAGGACTCCCCAAGTACTAAGCACCCCAGCGCCAGTAACAATAAGCCCCAGGGCTGGAGCGATAGCATAGTGGGTAGGGTGTTTGCCTTACACGCAGCCGACCTGGGTTCGATCCCCAGCATCCCATATGGTCCCCGGGTACCACCTGAGTAGTGAGCCAGGAGTAACCCCTGAGCATCACTGGATGTGACCCAAAAAGCAAAAAAGGGGGAAAAATAAATAAATAAGCTCTGACTCCCACACTCAGGACTCTAGCGGCCACTTCACCAGGGAGGTGCCACCTGGGTAGCAGGATGTACGACTGAAAGGGACTTGAAGCCCCCTCTTGAGAGGGTGAGATCAATCCAAGGAAGCTTCCAGAGGGGAAAACCCAATGGCAGCTCCGGGACAGGGAGAATTTAAACAGGCAGAGCAGGGAGGAAGGGCCCTCCAGTGGGTGTGCAGGCAGGAAGCAGCCCAGGGGACATGTAGGGGGCACGGTATGAAACAAAAGGAGCTGGGAAGTTCTCCTCACTGCTAGAATCATCCTAAGCGCCCAACTGCATCACTTTTTCTGATGGTTGTTCTGTTTTATTGGGGGTGGAGGGGAGGCCTGGGGAACACACCTTGCAGGGAGCTGTTCTCCAGGCAGTGCCCAGGGTTGCTCCCTGGAGGTTCTCAGGGGACCACAGAATGCTGGGGATCAAGACTCAGGCTCCCAGTGCACATATGCTACCCGAGCCCCTGTGCTGCTTAAACCCACGTGGCCGAGTATATGTGGTGCCTGAGCACGATGTATCGCCCTCTTGAGATGTGTACTTTCATGCTTTCATGTCTAATGCTGGGATGTGTTTAGGGGCTCTGTCCGCCCTTGGAGAAGCCCAGGTTCTGTTTTTCTTGAGCACGTTACTCTCCATTCTCTCCCACTTTCTCTTCCTCCTTCCCTTCAAAACCTCCAATAAAAACTATGTAATTTCAAAATAAATAAAAAAATAAATAAGACTCAGGCTCCCTTGGGGCCAGAGTGATAGTACAGTGGGTAGGCCATCTGCCTTGCTTCAGCTAATCTGGGCTCCATTCCCATATGGTCCCCCGAGCACCATCAGGAGTAATTCCTGAGTGCAGAGCCAGGAGTGACGCCTGAGTATCTCCAGGTGTGACCCAAAAAGAAAACAAAAACAAAAAACAAAAAAAGACCTGGGCTTTTGCCTGTACTCCAGCCTTTTGTGTCACCTCCCCGACCCCACACCATTTCTTTCCAGGGTAAGCCTCCTGTTATTTCAGGTAGCTCCTTTAACAGAACACCTGACAGTAGACGGGGGTGTTAGCTTTATATGTGGTTCCATCCCCGACTCCCCCATAGGGCCCCCTGAGCCCAGCCAGGAATGACCCCTGAACTCAGAGCCAGGAGCAGCGTGGGGATGTGGCCCCCAAGCCGCCCAAATAATCATAAAGTGACCTGGCTGGAGGCGAGGGCGAAGGGGCAGCCGGGCGCGGGCGCTGGTGGTGGAGCGGGTGGGTACCTTCTCGGCATCCTTGGCACAGCGGTCCACGCGCTCCTGCAGCTTCCGCATCTGCTCCTGGGACATGGAGCTGTCGGCCTTGGCGTGGCTCTCGCGGGTCTGCGCCGTCTTCTCCTCCTTCCGCGCCGCGTGGTAGCTCTTCTTGGAAGCCTCCACCTGGCACGGGGCGGGCACGCGTCTGGAGCCTGCGTCCCCTCCCCGCACAGACCCGGGCATGGGGCTGGGCCATCCGGAGCGAGGGGCCTCACCTCCTTCAGCCTCTTCAGCCAGGGCTTCTGTGCTTTGCGGAAACCGTCCTCAGCCGCGCGGCTCTCGCGGAAGCCCCCCAGCACGGGCCGGTGGAAGGCCCCCCGCTGCCAGGCTCGCACCCGCTCGCTGTCTTGCCCCTGCAGTTTCTCCCGCACCTCCAGGTGCAGCGCGCTCAGCCGCTCGGCCGCCGTGAAGAAGGCGTGCCAGGCCTTCTCCAGCGTGCCATACTGCGGGCCTGTGGGGCACAGGGGCACCACACCGTCACCCAACTGCCCCCCAGGGGGTTCTGCTCTGGGGGGGAGGGGGGAACGGCCCAGGTGAGCCAGCATGTGGCATTCAACAGAAGGAGTGGAGAAGTAACTTGCCCTGAACACTGAGCGGCAAGCCCAGGGGAACCCTTCCCCCCCATTGCGCCCTTGGGAGAAGCAGCCAGGTCCCTGTCATCTCTCCCTCCCGGGGACTTCAGGCGAGTCACTTGGTCTCTCGTTACTCCCAATTCTCCTCTCGAACAGTTGCATGAGCGGGGTGTCAGGGATATGGTTCAAAGGGCTGAGCACAGCACCCCACCCCCTCAAGCACTGCAGGAAGCAGCACCCGAGCACAGAGTCCCCCAGGTGTGACCCAACAACCAAAATAAAAGAAAGAGGGTTAGACCCGACTGTTCTCGGCCCACTCTGATAGCACGACTTGGGGTAGTAAAGTCACATTCCTGACTTACTTGGGTAAATTCCCTTATTTACTTTTACAGATTACTGACTTTTAGTTGGGTAAATCCCTCATTGCCAGGCAAGTCTCAATGTTTTCACTAAAAAAAAAAAGTGGGGAACAAAGCTGCTTGGGACCAGAGAGAGAGAGCATAGCAGCACCCCATATGGTCCCCTGAGCCCTGCCAGGAAGGATCTCTGAGTGTAGAGGCAGGATTAAGCCCTGAGCACTGCCAGGTGTGGAGAAGGAAGGAAGGAAGGAAAGAAAGAAAGAAAGAAAGAAAGAAAGAAAGAAAGAAAGAAAGAAAGAAAGAAAGAAAGAAAGAAAGAAAGCGGGAGGGAGGAAGAGAGGAGAAAAAAGAGAAAGAAGGAATGAAAGAGAGAAGAAAGGAGAGAGAAGGAAGAGAGGAAGGAAAGGAAAAGGAAGAAAGGAGAAGGAAGAAAGAAGGAAGGAGGAAGGAAGGAAGGAGGGAGAAGAAAGGAAAAAGGAAGGAAGGAAGGAAAGAAGGAGAAAGAAGCAAGAAAGGAAGAAAGGAGGAAGGAGAAAGTGCCCTGCCTTGCACCCTATGCACCCCACTTAGCCCTGGGCAGGCTCACCCTTCTCCACAGCACCCCTCCACTTGCGAGCCCACTCCGCCAGCTGCTGGGCGTAGGCTTTCTCAATGCGGGCACGCTCCTGGAAGCAGTTGACCAAGTCCCCGCACAGCCGGTGCCCATCCTCCACCCGCTGCACCGTCCGCCTGTAGTTACCAGCCTGTGATGACACGAGAAGGGGGTTGCCAGGGACAGGACCCCCAGGAAGGCTGAGGGGGCAGCTAGGCTCCTCCCCTGTCCTGGTGGCCGGACCCAGCGATGGGGGAGCGTTCCACCCGACTGCTCACCTCCCAGAAACTGCCCCCGAGGGCCTCCCCTCCAGCGTCCTCCTCTGGAGCCATGGTGTCCCCGCAGCACGGAATGGTGGCAGATTAGGGACTGTGGGAAATGGGGGAGGAGGGACAAAGGAGTGAGCAAGGGAGCCAGAATTGCACCTTGGGGGAGAAGATAAACCCCTCTCCTATCCCCGGGCCCAAACCCCACCACCCCAGGAACCATCAGAGCGAGGAGTAAGCAAGCAGGAGTCCAGGGGGTCCCCAGGAGGGGTCAGGAGAGGAACAGGGTGGCACTTCCCAAGCCCCTGCTCTGGCCCTGAGACCACCTCCCACACACACACACCTACCTGGAGCCGAGCGATCGCTCAAGGACCCAAGACTCCCGCTCTGGAGCCTGCCACGCTCAGATTCCTCCTAGAAACTGACCAGAACAGAGCTGGGGGTGAGGGCGGAGGCCCTGAGACCAGGGCGGTGCCCGGCTCCCCCAATATAGCAACTGTGTGTCAGAGGCACCAGCTTCCAGCCAGAATACCAGGCAGGTCACACGATCCAGCAGGGGATTAGATGGTAGGCGGGGGTGGGGTGGGCAGAGGGCCCCACTCCCCCCCGCGTGCAAATGAGAGAGGAGGGCATCTGTCCACGCCGGGCTCTGCTGCCCTTCCTTGAACAAGGGGACACTTGCCCAGACCAGTCAAGTCAGAAGGTGCCAGCCCCTCCCCCTGGCTCTGGGCTCTGGGGAGAGCTAGCTGCAGCCAGGACTGAACCAGCATTTTACTGTCCTCACCTAAGGAAGCTTCGCCCCCGCCTAAGATGAAAATTCCACCTGTTAGAGGGGCCGGGGAGATAATACAGGGGGAAGGGTGCTTGCTTTGCTTAGAGCCAACCCAGTTTCTGTCTCCAGTACTGCATATAGTTCCCCGAGGCCCACTAGATTCCTGAGCACAGAACCAGGAGTAAGCCCTGAGTGCCACCAGGTACAGCCAAATATAAATAATAAAAATTTTAGTGGGGGGGGGGCGGGCACACCTGATGATGTTCAGTGGGTACTCCTGGCCCCGCACTCAGGAACTCAGGAATTACTCCTGGCAATGCTCAGGAGATTCTATGGGATGTTGGGGACCAAACCCAGTCAGTCACATGCAAGGTAAGTACCCTACCCGCTGTACTATCACTCCCACCCTATAATAAATAAAATTTACCTCCTGTCTGCTGCGGGCCAGGGCTGGTATAAGATGCAAACCAAGCAAAGAATAAACTATGGGGGTGGGGAGGTTGACAAGTTCCAAGAAAACACAGATCCTGTCCCATAACAGCCACCAAGGTCCCAGAGGGCTCTAAGGACAACAAGCAGTTCAGTCCCACCCCTGGGCAGGATTTGGCCTGAAAGATTTGGCGCTCAGGACACCTGCCTTGCAAGTAAATGGTCCCGGGCATCCTCCATGCACTGGGCATGATCCCCACAGCTCTGCTGTTTGAGCCTGATTATGCACTTCTGTCTACGTGAGCACCAGTCACACAAGCAATTGCCACACACAACAAAGGGATGTGACCCAGCAAACACTGAAATAAAAAGGCAAGTTTGCAGCCCTGAAGTGACAGTACAGCAGGGAGGGTGCTCACCTTAAACACTGCCAACCCAGGTTCAATTCCTACACCCCAGAGGGTTCCCCAAGCCCCGCCAGGAGTGATCCCTGAACACAGCGACAGGAGTACGACCTGAGCACAGCCAGGTGTGGCCCCCCAAAACAAGCAAATATATACTTATATATACTTGGGCTGGAGACATGCCTTGCATGCATGAAGCCCTGGGTTTGAACCCCCCGTGCTAAAAGAAATATTGGTCGGGAAGGGCAGAAGGCAGCCCAAGGGGTCAGAGCACAGGCTTCTGATGGCGGTCCCGGGTTCCACCTTAAGCATCACTGCATGATCTCCTGAGCATTGCCTGAGCGAGTCCTGAGAACCAAAGCAGGAGCAGCCCCCAAACACCACCAGCTGTGGCCCCCAAAACCAAAAACAATAAAGATGATGTGTGAGCAGTATAACCAGGAAGCACAACCTCAGGCAAGGACATGTGGGACGTGACCCCCGTCCCCCACAAGCGTGTGAACTGCAAGACCCCTGGCAAGCCCCACAACTCAGTGACGGCAATTCTCGGGAGGGTGACACTGCAGCTGAGTGTGAACACCAGGACCCAAATGCGCCCCCAGCAAGCACCACAGCCAGGTGTGTATGTGGCCCTCCTCACCTCTCCCCAGCCCTGCTGCTGCTCATAGCAACAGGCCCTCACCCCTACCCAGCCTGGTTCATCTCAACAAACACCAGCAACAACAAAGGGAAGGGAAGGGAGAGGGAGGATTTAAAAAAAAAAAAAGGGCCCAGGATGGAGTGACACGAAGATCAGCCAACTGCAAGGCTGTTCACCAGCATCTGGAGGAAGAGCAAGGGGGAGTCCAAGCCCAGAGCCACTGGCTAGAGGACACATGGGATTGATCCCCTCCAGCCTCAGAGCCGGATCTCAGCTGTCCCCAGTCCAGACTCAAGTCCCTAGAAGGACATCACTTCCTCTCTTGAGTAAGCCCAAGGGACCTGGCCAGGGCTGAGAGGACAGGGTGTGCGTGCAGGACCCCCTACAGCAGAGCTGCCCTCACGCCCTCGACTTCTGAGCCCCCATCCAGATATCCGACTCCAAGAGAGACTTTGTCTCGGGTCCCCATCACCCAGGTCCCACCCAGCCCTACAGCCCTTCATCACCCACTCAGACAGGGGTAGGTATATCCCACTGGGTACAACTGAGAAAACAAAATGTTATTATGACAGCGACTTCCCAATGGAACAGTGCATTTCTCAGGGCAGTGATGCGAACAACTGGGGGGAAAAAAAATCTGCCATTGAGGATGGGACTAGCATGTGTGAGGCAGTGGGTTCCATCCCCAGCACTGTTAACAAAACAACATACACACACACACACACACCCAAATAAGCCCCAGACAATAGCACCTATGTGAGCACTTTCCTTGTGAAGCCTCACCGAGAAGGAAAGGGATCCCCACATCTCTCCCATGTTTCCTCTTGATTTGGCCCCATGTGTCCAGAAAGCACTTGCTGAGCAGATGAAGAGTCTCAGACCCTCTGGTGCTTTCCTGTCAGGTATCCAGGGGCCTGGGCCTGTCCAGCCTCGGCGCCCCGGGGCTGCAGGGAGAGCTGCCCCCAGCCCGTTGCCGCTCTGTGGCCCCAGAACAGAGCAAGCTGTGTTTGTAGGGCTGGCACTGCTCCCTCCGGCCTCTCAGAGCAAACAGCAACCCAGGCCCCAGGCACCGCCAGGCCCCGAGGCCCCAGCTGGGACTAACTGTGGGGGTGGCCTTCTGCCCTGGCCCCTGTGTCCCAGCCCAGCAGAGGCCGGGGGAGCGGACATGCAAAGTCACTGGTAGCCAGAGCTCAGAGCGCAGATATCCGGGCTGGGAAGACACTTTCTGGGGCTTGGCGGGGTCTGCTCAGCACTGCCTGCGCGCAGACAGGAGTATCGGGATGAGAAGCTGATCACGCTGATCAGCACAGCCAGTGCCCGACTTGCCCCTACCCGGCCCAGAAGCCTGGGACGTGCTCCTGGGAGGGGCGCTGCCAGGTCGCCCTGCCCATCCTGGGTCCCTGAGTCACAGGCTGCGCCCAGGGGCCTCTTCCCTCCACCGCCCCAAGCCCCGGGATTTGAAGGCCCGGGAAGGGGAGCCTCGCTGGGATCACAGGGAAGCGCTGGCAGCCGCGCCTGCCACCAGCAGCCCAAGCGGGAGGCTGGGGGAGGGGGCGGCTCGGGAAAGGGGAGGCGGCAGGGCCTGGGAGGGGCATAACAAAGGGGCACTTTGGGAAACCCGACCTGCCGGCCGAGGTGCCTCGGCCCGATCCGGGGTGACGCACTCGGCACCCCGAGCCGAGCCGCAGTGGGCGCGCAGAGGCTGCCCAGCCAGGCCGCCGCCCCCGCCTCCTGGACCGTGGACCGGCCTCCCTGCGCCTACCCCTCGCGGGCGTCCCGCAGCCGGACTCGGGGTGCCCCCCCCCCAGAGCACGCGGAGCGGCCACGCCGGGCGCTGGAGGCGCTGCGACTCCTCGGCCCAACTTTTTTTGAACTTGATCTCGGTGGGGCGGTGCGGCCGCGGGTCACCCCGAGGGGAGGGGGCGCACCCGGCGCGGCCCGGGGACTCCAGATGGTGGCCGCCGGAGCAGCGGGCCGGGGGAACTGGGGCTCTAATTTTGGCAAGGGGTCGCTAAGAAGAGAGGTCCCCACTGGGACCCCAGGGGACGATCTGGGTGCACTCTGGGGTGGCGCTCCAGCTCCGACGCGCCCCTGGCCCTACCCACCCCGCGCCCGCCCGACCCCCGATTGCCCCGCGCCTCGATTCACCGCAGAGCGCGGTGAGTGGGGGGCTCCCGAGGAGCTGCCGGGGCGGGGAATGGGACCCGGGGTTAAACTTGGAGCGCGGGAGAAATCTACACCCTGGGAGCCGCCGCCGCCACCGCCGCCGCCAGCACTCACCGCGTCGTCCCGGGGCGCCTGGGCGGGTGGGGGTCCGGCCACGCTCGGCCCGAGTCCTGCCGCCGCCTCCCGCAGCGCCGGGCCCTCCCCCGGGAAGCCCGGCCCCCGGCCCCGCCTCTCCCGCGCCGAGGCCCCAGCCCCACCGGCCGGCGGCGGGGACGTGGGGGCTGCCGAGGGGAGGGAGGGGGCTCCCGGCGGGCGCGTGAGGAGCGTGGGGGCCCGCCGGGTGGGAGCGGGAACGCTAGGGGCCCGCACACCCCGCACCCCGAGAGAGGCCGGGGCTAGGGGGGGCTCCCCCCATGCTCTGACTATGCTCCCTGGGCACAACCCCCCCGCACCACCACCACCCCCCGCTTTGTTAGCATCAGGATTCCCAAGGTACAGACGTGGAAACTGAGGCACCGTTTCCCACCTGCGGCTCACGTGGGACTCCGGGGAGCAGCTCCCCACTTGGAGCACCGCGCGGTTTTGCCCCTTCCTCGCCCTGGGGACCAACCGGCAAAGAGGGTGTGGCAAAAAAAAAAAAAAAACCCGCGCGTTCCTCGGGCTGGGAGTTTCAGATTTTATACCGCGATTCATTCTTAAATCCTTCCACTCCTCCACCCCCTGCATCAGTCACCGGCTTTGGCAGATTTTTCCAGGTCGCCGCCGTGCCGCCCCGCCCTTAATAAATCCTTCCACCTTACCCACTCGCCCCCATCCCGGGAATTTTCAGAGCCTGCCCGTCGGTTATTTATATCCACTGGAGCGGTCCAGAAATGTTCCCAGGCTGACCTAATCGCCACCTGCTTGGCTTGCCCACCCCTTCGAGGCGCTCCGCCTGGCATCACGCTCCGAGGGGTACCGGCCCAGCAAATTCGCTGGGAGTGGCTGAGCCGCGGGCGCTCTGCCCAGAGAAGGGCGCCCCCACGGGGAACCGCGCCTGGCTGGCTCGTTCCCAGAGGCCCCAGGGCCGCGGGGACCCCTCCCTCCGCTCTCCAGCACATGTGCCTTCCCCCTACTCCCCAGCACCCCCGCGCCCCACCTCCCTGAGGAGTATTAAGTACCTGTGCCAACCTTGGAGACCCACAGCTTTAAAAACACTCAAACGATGTGATTTCCAAGCCCGGGAGGGAATCACTCACTGATGCTTGAAGTCCAGGAATCTGCTCATACATACGGGGGGGGGGGGGGGGGGGCCTGCAGAGGAGAGAAGCGATGAGTGCTGATACGAGCCTCTTCAACGTCCTCCCCAGGACTGAGAGCCGGTCCTGGGCACCCAGGAAGTACCACCTTCAGCTGAGGACTCTGGTCATGCTTGACAAATCACACCTGAGTGGAGAATGATCCTGGTGCTCAGAGGGTGTGTGCCGGCAGGATGTGGCCTCTGAAACCAGTTTCAACACCCACTCTCTGGTGGGGCTTGGACAAGTCCCTTTTCTCCCTATCTCTGTTTCTCCCTCTATAAAACTAGCCAGGTGACCTGGCTGACCTAAGCCAGCCTAGGGCCCCAGCTAATTAAGGACTGTAAAAGCACTTCCAGGGAAAGGAGGAAGCAACTGCTAGAGGAGCCCCCTCCCCCCCACCAGCGGCCAGTGAGGGACAGCCAGATGGGGGTTTATTATCATTTAGAATCAGTTGCTGTCCCACCTCATGCTTAGGGGGTCCTCTAAGCAACTCAACAGCAAGGTGTGAAAACACAAGAATGAAACTAATTACAGTGAAACCCCACAGGGAAATAAAGGCTACATGGCAGGCCCTGGTGTTAGGGGGAAGCCAGGCGCAGGGAGATTCAGAAAATTAGGGCTGTTCTCTTCAGACCTTCAGAGAAGGGGATGCCCCGTGTGGAAAACATCTGGCTTCCCTTGGGTTCAAAGCTGGGAGCAGAAAGACATGTTGCAGCTGATCTTAATTGCCCCTAAGGTACTACTGGGAGGAAAAATAAACCCAGGCCCAGAGCAACATACTGAACTACTTCAAAGGTGAGAGGGGGATGGAGTGCATAATTTGTATGCAAGGAGACCTGGGGGTTCCATCCCTGGAGCCACAGAGTCCCCATCAGGAGACATTCTGAGCTCAGAGCTTGGAGTAACCTGTGGGCATAACTGGTGTGGTCCAGTTTGTTGGTCTTTTTTTTTTTTTTTTTTTTTTTTTTTGCTTTTTGGGTCATACCCGGCGATGCACTCAGGAATTACTCCTGGTCAGTGCTGACACAAGTTGATTTTTATTTTGTTTTGTTTTGTTTTGGGTTTTTGGGTTTTTGGGTTTTTTGGGGGGGGGGGGGTTGGGTCACACCTGGCAATGTACAGGGGCTGCTCCTGGCTCTGTACTCAGGAATTACTCCTGGCGGTGCTCAGGGGATCATATGGGATGCTGGGAATCGAACTCAGGTTGGCCGTGTGCAAGGCAAATGCCCTACCCGCTGTACTATCACTCCAGCCCCCACAGGTTTGACCCTCATAGAGTCCCCTGAGCCTGCCAGGAGTGATCCCTGAACTCTGTCAGTTGTGACCCAAAAACAAATGAGAAAGCAGAACAAAATAGCGGTAAGCGGAGAGAGAGCTGACGTGGAAAGTCAGCAGTGTTTTGCAAAGGCAGCCCTGAGACTCAGTAGTGGACTCCCCCACAGAGCCCCTACCGCCTCCGAAGACTTTATTAGTGCTGCACACCACTTAGATGGGGTTCATGATGAGACACCCAGAGAAGAGGGCCGGGTAGACAGGACCCTGAACATGCGGAGTGTGACTGTGGGTCACAGCCTAGTTGCAGACTGGCCCGAAGCCCGAACTCCCAGCACTTAGACAATCACTCACCTTGAGCTTCTGGAATGTCCTAGCCACTGTGCTGTCACTTGTTTGTTTATTTTATTCATTCACTCATCCGACCTAAAGAACATTTGAGGAGACATAGGGAGAAGAGAGAGGAAGCCAAATAGCGTTTTGGCGTTTTTCCCCTAAATCAAATGCTTTATGTAGGATGCAAAATATGTTGTCATAAGATAAAAATATGGCTGTAAGGGACTGGGGATATAATACAGAGGTTACGATGCTTGTCTTGCATGCAACTGGCCCTGACTCCATCCCTGGCACCAGATATGAGCACTACCTTGAGCACTACCAGGAGTGATCTCTGAGCACAAAGCCAGGAGTAAGCACTGAGTACCACTGGGTGTGGCCCACAACCCAAAACAAAGATAAGAGGGGAGAGATAATATAGGGAAGAAGGTGCTGGCTTTGCATGGAGCTGACCCCACTTTGATAAGGCCTCTGAACACTGTCAGGGGACACTCCTGAACCCAGAGCCAGGAACAGCCCCTGAGTTCCATCAGGTAGCCCCAACATCCCCCCTGCTAAGAAAACAAAATGTTGACGTGGACACAACTATAATTGTGCTCAGTTTGTGGTCATGCAATGTATAATTTACTCTGATCAAGTAAACGATGGCAGAATAATCCAAAGAAGTCCCCTGACGTTTTGTTTTCACTCAGCCCTATACCAGCTAGGTATTGGGAGTACAAAGACAAGTAGGGCAAAGATCCAGGTATATGAGAGTGATACCAGGTGGATGGGACGTCCTTCGGAGAAACTGGCAGAAGCCACCGCCCTTCCCAAAGTCATTGCCACTTGATTGGTCCTGAGCAGGAATTAGTCACCCACGTGGAGAGGCATTCAAGGCAGGAGCACCAGGGTGTGGCAAATCCCAGAACCGTGAGCCTGTGACTTGGTGACCCAGCTATTCTACTTCTTTGGGTATCTAACCCAGGCAAAAAAAATGTGTACAAGTGCAGGGGGAGAAATGTAAAGACGTTTGCACGTAATATTGTTGACAATAAGGGGAAACTGGAAAACCCATGTCTATTAAGGGGGCAAAGGTCAAATAACCTAAAGCTCAGTCATGCTCTGGATTCTTCTACAATGACTCAAGAGCACAATGGACAGAGATGTGTTCTTAAATGTGCGCTTCCAAGAGGCTGCCAGGCGAGAGGCAAGGACAAAGCCCTTTGAGAGCCTCCAAAAGGAATGTGTAGCCTGTGAAACTGTGGGTCACGTCTTCAGGCAGAGGTTGACCTTGGTAAAGAAGCTGCTTTAACAATTGAAAGTTTAGGGGGGGCTGGAGCAATAGTACAGCGGGGAGGGCATTTACCTTGCACGATGGCCAAGGCAGGTTCGATTCCCAGCATCCCATATGGTCCCCTGAGCACCGCCAGGAGCAATTCTTGAGTGCATGAACCAGGAGTAACCCCCTGTGCAATGCTGGGTGTGACCCAAAAAGCAAAAAAAAAAGAAAGAAAGTTTAGGGGCTGGAGCGATAGTACAGCAGTAGGCCATTTGCCTTGCACTCAGCCAACCCGGTTCAATTCCCAGCGTCCCATATGGTCCCCTGAGCACCACCAGGAGTGATTCCTGAGTGCAAAGCCAGGAGTAGTTCCTGAGTATCACCAGGTCTGACCCAAAAAGAAAAAAAACATTGAAAGTTTTGGGCCGGGGAGAGAGTTCAGCGCACTGAGTACATGCCTGGCATGCAGGAGGCCTGAGTGGCCCCCCTAAGCACAGTCAGGGGTGCACTAAACAATAACAACAACAAAAATTGTTCATTTGGGGCCACACCTGGTGGTGCTCAGGGCTTATTCCTAACTCTGCACTCCGGGATCACTCCTGGTAGACTCAGGGGGATCATTTAGGGATTGAACCCGGGTCTGCCACGTTTAAGTGCCCTATTTGCTGTGCTCTCACTCTGCCCTCTCGCCAAAATCATTTTAATTTTTACTTATTTTAGATTTTGGCTTCTGGGTCATACCCAGCTGTGTTCAGGGCTTACTCCTGGAAGACTCGGGGAACTGTATGAGGTGCCAGGGACCAACTAGGGTCAGCGATGTGCAAGACAAGCGCACCTTCCTTGATGTACCATCTCTGTGACACCCCTCCAAAATAATATTTTTTGTTTGTTTGGTTGGTTTTTGGACCACAGCTTGATGGTTCTCAGGGTGGTTGTTCCTGGCTCTGCACTCAGCAATCATTTCTGATGGCTCAGTGGACCATATGGGTTGCCAGGGATTGAACTTGGGTCAGCAGCGAGTAAGATGAACAACCCCCGTTCCCCCCCCACACACA